GAGAGAGAGAGAGAGAGAGAGAGAGAGAGAGAGAGAGAGAGAGAGAGAGAGAGAGGAGACCATGACACTGATGACAGGACTGGATCTTCTTGGCATGGCCAAAGGCCGAGACCGACAGCAGAGTCAGCGGCGGCGGGCGTTGTCAAGCTATTGTGCATCAGCATGGTTGGCGCGGTCAACATGGGTGACATGGGCTGTGGTGTGCTGGTCGTCTCACCAGCGAATGCGAGTAAAAACATGCAGGTCGCCACGCTGGTGTGCCCACCACCCATTCTGCGTTTTTTGTCGTTTTGTCATCATGATAATGGCCCTGACAGTCACAATGGCAATCTGTGTGTGGTCACAGACGGCACCCCTGCAGCCTCCCGATCTGACTAAGTGCAGCCAGCAGTCAAAAGCTGATCTTTGCTGTTTGGCCATTCCTTCGGCCAACAGGCCCCCACGGCAGTTCATGCGAAACGCCTCCATTCCCTTCGGCTACAGGTACTCTGCTTCAGAAGCATTTCAGAATCCAGCCTATGTGACCAAAATCACAAAAGCCTACCAGGTTTTGCGTAACCTCAGTGTAACTCATCCGTTGGACCCAAGGTCCCTTGAGCATCACCGGCGAACTCATTGCGCCTTCTGCTCCAATGGCCAAGCCTATGGGACTCAGTACGCTGTCCACGGCAACTGGTACTTTATCGCATGGCACAGAATGTTTATCTACTACCATGAACGTATTCTCGCTTGGGCATCGGGAGATCCCAGCTTCAAGCTGGCGTATTGGGAATGGGACAGTCTAGAGGCCACATCCAAGTCCTTACCTAGTCCGTATGCCAAGCAGGGTTCGCCTCTGCACTGGGTAGTTCGCAACAGTGAAGCGAAAATCACCCATCTGGTAGGAAACGTGACGAGGAGAGCAATTCTGAGGGCATCAACACTAGAAGCTGACAAGTGGCAGCTCTTCTTTGGTGGCCGACTGGGTGCCAACCAATATGGTTCTGCTGATGATGGTCCACACGCGGCCATTCACTTTGCCGTGGGGCCACCTCAGACTCGCGGGATGGGAAGCCTGAATCATGCAGCCATAGATCCCATTTTCTATGCTCATCATGCCAACGTGGATAGACTCGTCGATCTGTGGGTGAACATGCCAGCTAAGAGCAGAGAGAAGCGGTCAAAGTTGAAGACAAGTACGACGTCAACTGCAAATGTCATTGACAAGAACCGGTCAACATCAAAGTCCCACATGGCGTTGTCAGGAAGGGAGAGCATTGTCGCACTGCGAGACTACCCATCAAACAGGATATGGAGAGATTCGTGCTTTGTGTTCTATGACGAAGAAGCGACGCCAAGGATCACATGCATCAAGGATATACTCGACACGTCATTCAATCTTAGATACGCTTATCCAAAACGACGACCCACGTGGCTATCTGAGGACGAGCTGCCCGGATTCACACAGGATAAGGACCAGGTCCTTCGTGGCGTGCATCGAGGACGATCCTTGTCCTTTGCTGTCCTTCAAACAAACATACATGTTTCTCCAACCCACTCATCGACCACGGTTGTCAGGCATCTGCATGGAGTTCACGTAGACAGCGATAGAAATGGTCATGATTCTGCTATCGACGACCATCATGATGACAAAGAAGCAGATGATGAGCCAAGTCTTGTCCTTGAAAACAATAATCATTGTCGTCGGTACCATCAGCAGAAGGATCAACAAATAGAATGTCATAGGGATCTAAAGGATGCAGATCAGCTGTTGGACTCTCAAGGACAAGTCGGAAGAAGATCTCCTGACGAGTCTGGAGCAAGCAGGGATGGCATCCCAGTCTCCCTTGTGGTTGGTCCTGTCATCAGCTCCACCGGGGCCTTTGTGAATGTGTCTTTCACTGAATTGATTCCTCCCTCGGCTAACGGGGATGGCCTCCGCGCACAACCTCAACCATCCGATCAGAGTGTTGAGGGACATGGGGATCTCGTTGTCACTCTCCGAGGTATGAAGCTTCCCGTGCGCCATCCTGTGGCCATCCACGTGTTTCTTACCCGCGTGGGCCACACCTTCTATCCACACCCTTCCAAGTCATCCTTTGTTGACGACGAGTCTATAAATAGCCCAAACTACGTCTACTCCTGTTTCACAATGCCCATGACGCCTGCACCATCATCGAGTTCGGCAAGCTACGAACCCATATCGGGTTTGCGGGCAAGATCGATATCCAGTTCGATGACCATCCCTCGTACGACAAAATTCTCTCTGACCAGTGCCCTTCGACGGCTCGGGTTTGACCCCGATATGCCGGCCAACCTCACAATACACATGGTGGCTGAACAATACGGTGTTCACCGCAACATGTCCATGGATCTGTGGATCAAGGTTCAGAAAATGTACTTGGAACGGCTGCAAGGTCCTTGAGATGCAGGTAATCAGTGGCCTGCATATGGATTCCAGTGAAACAAAAAAAAAGAGAAACTGGTGGTGTCAGCTAGCTCAATAGGTTTCATGCCTGAACTGCACCGAGTAGGTGCTGGATTCGCGGCAGTCACTTTCAGTGACCTGAGGATGGCCAAGGCCAGAGCAATGCTGGTCATTCCGCTGGGGGAAGTTGCGCCACCCTGCAACCCGGAGTTATGCAGGAGCATGAGGCCCAGTAGAGAGATGTGGCGAAGAGGCCCGTGTCACCATGTGTGGCGCTCTACTATGTGGTGAGAAGGCCTGCTTACTGCTCAGGTCCGTTTCGCACATACACAAGAATTATGTAGTTGAATTCTAGTCAGAATCATCATCTTAGCTGGCATCCATCCATGGCTCAATTACAATGCCTAACTCAGGGTTGAGACCCTCAATTTACTCAGGATACTTTGAAGAAGCATGAACTCCAAATCCCTGTCATGAACGAGGTTCGATAAAAAATCATCATGACATATATAATCCACAATAACAGCATAATAATTATCTTGACCTTAGACACTGCTGCTACTCAGTGGGTTTGGGGGAAGATGAAAAGGTGCAACTACTAGCAAAATGCAAGGTCCTTGTGTTAGCCGGGCCCCCACCGGCTGCCCCACCCCACTCCCTGACTACCACTCTTAGAGCTGGAGGCAACATGCAATTCCTTCTTTTTTTCTTTTTAAAGTTTTTTTTCCTTTTTTTTTAAGCCCAGGTTGTCATAGAGGCCAGGCTCCAGACATGCAGTGGTAGCAGTCAGTCAGCAGCCATTGGTTGTCCTGACAATTTTTATGTGTGAGACCGCCTCCCTACCCATTCTCTCGTCAATTCTCCCAGTGTACCCCTATTCCCACTATCCTACCTCAGTGTTAATCACTCAGGACTATGACCCCGGACAGCAGTTATAGGCACCAGGGCTAAGCCCATGGTTGAAGCATGATCGCGCAAGCCTTGTCGCACGGGTACTTCGAACGCCAGGCTCGAGTAGTGTTTCTATCAGCCCCACCTACCAGGCTACTACCCTAACCTTTAGCAAGCATATCACTGACCATGTCTGATACCCCACCAATCTAGCTACTGGGGCTAGACTAGATTTCAACTTTTATCCAATTTCATATGTGCTAAGGGGGCGGGGGGGTACCCGCTCCTAGCTAGGGAAGTGCTGCCCATATCTAGTCTACCCCCCCCCCAGTGAGGAGGAGGGGCCCCCCCCCCCCCCCCCTCGCATATACGAAATTGGATAAAAGTTGAAATCTGCAAAGACAAAATTTAAGGAACTCCTTGGACTTGCAGAAATTTGAGCAACACTTACCTTAGCGAAAGTAGTCTTCCAATTTTTTTTTATTTGTTATTTTTTTTTTAAAGCCTTAGTTGTCTACTAGAGGGGGTGATACAAGCATCCCCCGCTAGTAGGAGCCATTGGCTGTACAAAGTCAAGTATGAGAAAATAAAGTTATCCCAGAAAATGCAGAAATTGAACTAACTCCTATGAAAAATAAACTTAACTTAGAAAATGCAAGAATTGAACTAACTCCTACAACTCCAGCACGTGGCGAGCATCTAAGACAACTACATATCAACTTGATACTCAGACTAAGTAGAACTCACACTCAATCACAGACAAGTCCATACCACAATTGCATAAGAACCCTCACCAAATCCCAAGTTGATTCCTCATAAGATAGTCCATTGAACCTTCAGATGATTATCCCTTAGAAAGCACTAAGAATCTCATCAATAATCGGGAAGGGGTCTATGCATCTGCACAATGCAGATTTCATTCTACGACATAGAGACAACTCCCGCCTAGGGGGAATTTAATATTAGATGTTTGAACTTAAAGTTTTTGAAATCGTGGTTTGACATACCACAATCTTCTACCGATCTTACATATGGCATGGCGCTAGACCATTCAACATAGAAACAATGCCTAACATGCCTTAGAATATACACGAACAGGTTGCACAACTACTTCTCTCTTCTGTGCGCATGTAGCTAGGTCATCCAACTTATAAATAATACCTAGCTGCCCTAAATTGTTTGAATATCCAAAGTTTTACTCTCTGACTTGTCTTCAAAAGAAAAGAAATATGGGCAGGAGACTTCTCTCTTCTTTGCGCGTGTAGCTAGGTCATCCAGCTTATAAATAATACCTAGCTGCCCTAAATTGTTTGAATATTCAAAGTTTAACTCTCTGACTTGTCTTCAAAAGAAAAGAAATATGGGCAGGAGACTGAGTCATTCAGCTTAGAAACAATATTCGTCTTGCCCAGATTACTTTCAATTATACTCTTTAATTTTCATTTTCTTCTTTGTGATATGGCTTATAGATGAACCATTCAACTTGAAAACAATGCCCAACCGTCTGTTCACATGCAAATATAAGTAAAGTAACTTCAATTATACTCATTTGTACTTTGTGCGTGACTTTAGGCTAAACCATTTAGCTTAGAAACAATGCTTAGCCCTACATCAAAATCCTCCTTCAGAATAAATTTAAACAAGAGATTTGATCATTCGGTCGGACAAACCCTTTAAAAATAAACACAACAACCAGGCCATTCAACTTAGAACAATGTCCGACCCTTCAAAAAACAACCAATAAACATAGCATTGGGTCATTCAACTTAGAAACAATGCCCAACCTTTGGTTGACCCGGTTAAGCGCATGCAAAACCACCTTCCTCCCACCTTCCCCCAATTCATACCTTAGTCTGCTTTAAGTCAAAATACAAAGAAACTGAATTTTTACGCATGCATTCCTTTCAATTAATGTAATTTTGTTCTAAAAAGAAAACAAATCATAGGGGAATGCACATAACCGCATCACACAGACTAGAAAGGCGTAGTAAAAAAAGGGGTATAAAGGGTTCATAAAAGGCAAAAGAAAGATATACTTGATAGTTCTCTGCCTCCAGAACCTCGCCTAGGTTCCGACAGAGCTGCCGCAATCGGTGGGGCGGACCTACCACAGAGGCCTTGGCACAGATTACGGGTTGCAATCCCACATGTCGCCTTCCTCTCTGAACCAACAGACTAAACTGAGAGTAAGCACGGCAGAGGAAGAGAAATTAGTCACTCAGATACAAGGAAGGTGCACTCAGACTCGCGTAAGAGGGCCTTGATACCTTGACATGCCTGAAGGTCCCGCAATGGTAGCCAGAACGCACTATATTGATCAGCCCGTAACCAAACGCAGTATGATCAACACTCTGACGGACCTCCAAGTTGCAGCAGTAATTTTTCTTCCAAGCCTTGTCATTCGTTCAAGTCACAACGTCTCACTCTCTTGATCAGACTGTTGTTGCATATGCTAGAACAACAACATTCATATAGCGCACACCCCCATGTGTTCTATTCAAAAAGCAAAGAGGACACGAGTCACACGCCAATATCCTGCAAAAACATGCATGTACAATAACGCCCTTTGAACAGACTGTACAACTTCACTTATTGTTGAGGTGTTGGTGTTGGCCCTATCAGGCAGTACTCACCCCCATATAGCTCAATTGGTAGCTTATACATGCCCCACTCAATAGGTAGGTGTCTCCTTACTTCCACCTTTGTTTCCCGTCACTCACTCCCACCTTTTCCACCATCTATCAACTCCTCTCCCTCGTTAAAGTTCTTATTTTCCTCATATCTTCGGTGCATCTGGTCAATCTCCTGGCCAGGTTCACTTGGTTTCTAATACCCACAGCAGGGGAAGTAATATGCAGGTCCTTCGATGACCACGCGCACTGCTACCTCAACTACGATGGAGAAGGTCACCGCATTAACACGAGGAGAAGTCATCCCTGATGATCACTGACCATGAAGACGACTAACAGAATGTGGAAATCCGATTGTGGAACTGGTTGCCGCACAAATGTTACGCCTTCGACCAACACCAAAAGGGCATGAACTTTACATTATGGACGACTAACACAGGTATCCCAATCCCTAGCTACGACGATCACAATCACGCAGAGAGAGGGGGGTGTAGCTGGTGGCAGCTATGAACACGAGCAGTTGCCCCACTTGATCTTGACCACAACGACCAGCAACAAAATGTCATTCATTTGAATCTCGCTCGTAAATTGCAGATGGGCGGGAGAGACCACGATGGTGGATACCGCAACCGGGATCATCGGAATAACGGACAACAAATGCAATTGAAAATGTATCTTCCACTAGATTACAGAAATATACATTACCTGTTTCAGCCACGTACACAAAGGAATATAATGGCTACTTCTATCGATGGGTGCATAAAACCAGAATGAATCTTCCAGTGAAATGTGGAAATATACACCTTGTTTCCTAGCCATGGGTGCAGGGATTATAGCACGAGGTTGGTTCCACCCATAAGATGTGCAAACTCATAATGAATCTTTCGGTGGAAAGTGGGAGGATACACCCGTCTTCCAACCTTGTATGCCGAGAGATAGAGAGAGTCTACTTCCGTCAACAGGATGAGCAAAATCGAAATGAATTATCTGCTAGAACCCGGAAGCATACACCACGCTCTGAAGTTGTGTGTGCAGAGAAGTCGGGGAGGGGCTACTTCCACTAATAGGATGTGCACAATCAGAATGAATCATTTGCTAGAACTCGGAAGTATACGCCGTTGTCCAGCCGTGCGCACAGAGAGATAGAGAGAGGCAACTTTCGTCGATACGATGAGCAAAATTTGAAATGAATCTTCCGCTAAAACATGTAAGTATTCTTGTTATCGCGAAGCTGTTCTTCCCTCCCGCGCACAGCCCCCGTGCACTGCGCCACTTAGTCCACTGCCCCATCTCTAAAATCGGCTTTACTAACGTGATTGCCCTATCTAAAAATCCAAGATGACATCTTATCTCGTCTCATCTCGTACGGGAATGAGCGAGATATGCATTTCTTGTTTCTCTTCTTTTTTGTTCCCACCATCTCTCCGCGCACAATTTTCTCTATTAACCTCCCTCTACACTCTTCTTATCGCCAAACTGACTCTGCCAATCGATTCACCTCGCTTTAAAACTGCGACTTCCACCTCTACCTCGCC